GAGATAAGACCCTGAGAAGTATTGAGCCCCATAGCTACTTGGCTTAGGAAAGACCTCCTAGAACAAGTATCAAAGGACCAGGGTTAGAGATGATGGACTCCATCCAGTGGTGACAGGCCTGGTGGGTAACCTGACCAGGAAGGGGCCAGAGGCAGGTCAGCAAGGAAGGAGGATGAAGGTGAAGTTGTCCAGGAGCCTGAGAGGTGCTTACTGACCTCCTTGCAGGCCCTACAAATGTTATTCAAACCTCTGGGCAAATGTATCAGTCACCTGACCTTCCACGAGCTCCTCCAAGGGCTTCAGGGACTCGTCCTGTTACCACCTGGCTTCTCGGAGCGGCCAGTCACTGTGGTGCTTCAGAATCAGGTAACACAACTGGGAGGCTCTTCTCTTTCCATAGCTGGCCTCCAGGTGCTTTCACTGGCAAGAACATGTCAAGGAGTGTTCTCTCTCCTTCCTGCACTGCTTCTCTAGTGAGCACCAGGACTACGTAGAGAGCCTGTTGAACACCAGTACCATGCCCCCACCCCTAGAGGGGCTCACTCAGTGGACCAGGGTGGGCCCCCTGCTCTGCTCTTCACATAAGCTCCCTGATGATGGTGCTGGTGTCACCTCTAGAGCAGAAATCATCAATTTTTTGATAGTGAATCCCTTTCATTAAAAAAAAAAAAAGCAACCACAACACCTATGTGTTTATCTGTAAATCATGTACATGGAACACTATACTGATATATGAGGTACATAATAAATACAAGACTCTACTCTAGATGTGAAAAGTTTGCTGTCTTCTCATATCCCAGTGGACTGTTTTGTTATGCCTCGTGAAGATCTTTGCCTAAAGCAATGCCTCCTAAGTGGGGTCCATAGACTTCCCACATCAGATTCCTGGATACATTAGTGATCTAGTCTGTGAGTCCCGGGGGTAGAGTCCTGTGCATTTAATCCACTCTGAGAGGAATGTTTTGGAATGTTCAGAGCATTAATTTCTTGGAAAGGGTTGAGAGTTTCTGGGCCAGCCCTTGTAAACCTTGATGATTTTATGAGTGTTGGACTCTGTAACCTGTGAACTTGCCCTTTTAGTTGGGGAATAGCAGAGCCAGGGAAGCGGTGAATGCCTAGGATGAACTCATTTTACTCAGACAATTTATCACTTGCAGTTTGGAATATCTTTGCTCTATGCCCTGCTGAGTCATGGAGAGCAGCTGGTATCCCTGGATTCTTCCCTAGAGGAACACAACCGTGACCGTACAGCTTGGTAAGATCATAAAGGCCTTGTAAATACTATTTGAGTTTTCCTGTGGTGTGTAGGCTGAGCCAGATGAGTGTTTCCTGAGTTGTGTATTCAAGCATTGGACAGAGAAGGGATGACTAGCAGAGTTGTAGATGTTCTGCCTTTTTATTTCTATAGTGCTCTGGGATGTTGTCCCCACTCTGGGAGGCAGTGTAAGGTAGTAGTTAAGGGGCAAGCTTCAGAGTCCAAGACCTAGGTGTGAATTCTGCCTCTGTCACTTACCAGCAACATAATTTGGGGCATATGAAATCATTTTCCTTAGCCTGTATCCTCATGTGTAAACTAGGGATCTAAGGAAGATGGTACCAACCAATTAGCAGTCTTCAGATTAAACGAAATGGAAGATGTGACTAAACATTGCCTGGCACACCAAATATGGAGATGTTCACTCTTAAATGCTACATGCACAGAGGGTGACAGTGGTGGGTAGCATGATAATGATAAGCCTGTGGATTGAGTCTCTTTGCTGCATAAATACAAAGACTCTGATGTATTTCTTCTTCTCTGCCTTCCAGGACAGACATGGTCATTCTCACTGCCTGGGAGATAGCCCAAATGCCCACAGCATCTCTGGCAGAACCCCTAGCCTTCCCCAGCAACCTTCTTCCCCTGTTCTGTCACCACGTGGACAAACAATTGGTTCAGCAGCTCGAGGCTAGGAGGGAGTAAGTGATTGAGGAAACAAAGTTATAGCTCCCTGTTTAAGCCCAAATGAGGTTCTGTCTCTTAAATCTCTACTACTTTAAAACCAGTAAGAATATGGAGTATAACTTGTTTTCCGGAGTATTTCTAGACACTGGCATGTACTGAGTAACCAGTCTGCTCCAATTTAGGGCCCTCTGTCCTGTGTCTGCAGCCAAACCTTTCTGTTTATTTCCAGGTGATTTGGTCATTTATCACACTATGTTATTTGAGGGAAAGAATTAATTTTAGAAGTTGGACTGTTCATTCAAGAAATATTTGAGGGAAAACTCTTCCAGGATGTAAACATACAAACATCATCTAGGTCATCTGTCTTCAAAATCTACCATCTGCTGGGAAGAAACATAATAATCACACCACATTTTAGAAAAGGGAGTTGTTTGGATTTAACATCTCTTCTCTTTGTAAGCTTGCCTTGATCTACTGATCCAACTGTACTGGAACCCATATTTATGGGAAGAGTTTAATGATGAGACACTAGCTGTGTATGGGCTCTGCCCACAAGGGTCCAGAGAGTCTGAAGACCGTTCTTGGTATATTGGAGGACTCTTCCCAATATATTTTCTTACGCTTTCTTCCAGCATCTAAACTATGTGCCTAAAAAGGCATGGCAAAATGTGGTATAATTAAAAAGATAATAGAATGATGTGTTGCAGCTTTTTTGTAAGTTAGCGGGTATAATGAAAGCCTTTTTCTTATGTGTGAAGCTACACAAGTGTCCATAATACAAGGGAGAAGGCCTTATGTCTAATGATCTTGGAATCTGTTCCAGTGTTGCCATTTTTATAAGTATCCCTAGTTGAGCTAAGATAGTCAGATATAAATATCTCCTTTGAGATATGAAATGTTTGGTATACCTTAGCAAACAAGGCCATGGATTCATCCAAAAATACCAGAGTACCTTTTATGAACCAGCTACCATTTTTGGTGGTTGGGTAACAGTGGTGACAAAAGCCCCTGCCCTTCTGAAGCTTATATTCTGGTTGGACAGGGACTGACAAAAGACATCAAGTAGTGGTAAATACCACGGTGAAATCAAAACTAGATGAGTGACTGGAATAGAATAGAGGACTTGTCACTAGAGGTTATAATTGAGCTGGAATGAATGAAATATTCCAGGTAGAGTCTCTAATGAGCAGAAAGCCCCCAAAGTGAGACTGAAGTTGGCGTGTTTCAGGAAAAGAAAGAAGGAAAGTGTGGCTGAAGTATACAGATAAGGGGGTGGTGATGAGGTAGGAGAGAGGTAGGCAGGGTACCTATCTGTAAGGTATAACCATTTTTTAATATGAATTTTTAACTGTGATGGTAAGTCAGAATTTTATTCTATTTAATAGAGGTACTGGGGATTGAACCCAGGATCTCCGGCATGCTAAGCATGCACTCTGTCACTGAGCTATATCCTTCCCCTGCCCTCTCCCCAATCAGAATTTTAAACAGGGAAGTGAAGTGATGTATTTTGTTTTTGGAAGATGACTCTGCTGAACAAGAGAGAAAGCAGAGAAGAATGTTCAGAGGATTTTTTTCCCCCAGTGCTCAGGAAAGAACTGAAGAGCTGTGGGGATAGAAAGCAGAGAAGAGATTTGGAATAGGTCTTGGAAGTTAGAGTTGACAAACATGCTGATGGGCTGGATGAAGGTGGTGGTGAAGAATCCAGGATGACTCCCAGGTAGAGTGAATGGTAGGTGCCCTGTACTGATGTGGGAGAAACTGCTTTTGGGAAGGCGATTATAATCAACATTTCATACACTTTAATACAAGTCCTGTTAGAAATCCAAGTAGATATACTGAGCAGGCAAAGAATAGTCTCGGGTTGGAGCAGAAAGTCAGGGACAAAGTGGGGGCTATCATTTAGATGTATTAAAAAGTAGGAGAGAGAAAGAGATAATGTAGGAAGAAAAGCCAACAGAGGGGACTGAGGAGTTTAATGTCAAATAGGTAGAAAATTAGGGGAAGTGGTGTTACCAACTTTGTAAAGAAATCACTTCAAGAAAGAAATGAGGAATGAGGAGAGAGAGAGTGATAGCTGGTTGTGGCAATAAGATCACTGACCTTGGAGGGACAGTATTGGTGGACATGGTAGCCTGAACACAAGGGCTGAAGGGAGGGAGGGACTTAACACAGAAAGAGTCAATTTGGAATCTTCTGAAAGGGAAGCACAAATTTGACAGCAGGTAGTGGTTCGTGCAAGTTGGAGGATTTTTTTTTTAATTTTAAGCAGTTACATTATAGCATGACTGCCTGATAATGAAAGCACCCCAGTAATGTGGGGCAGGAGAGTAAGGTAGGAAGAAATAGAAGTTTACAGACAAAAGTCCTTCAGCAAGAGGAGGATGGGAATTAAAGCACAAACCGACCTGTTGGCCTTTGATAGCTGTGTGACCCCATGTGATTGTGGAAGAGGTGTTAAGACAGGCATTGTTGTTTACTAGGAGACCTTTCCAAAACGCCTCTTCTCATCCTCCTATGCTGCGGATCTTGAATCATACTTTTAGGGAGAAAAAAGTGGTAGGAAAGGGGAACTCTACCACCTCCACCCCTTATCCACCCTGCTCCCCTGCCTGTTGTTGTGGACATCATATGACTTCAGCATTCACATCAATTCTCTGATGATGGCTTCCAAGGAAATTGCACTACCCAGGGCCTATAAACCAAAAGAATCGCCCAATAAGAAATGGGAAGAAGAGAAGCAGGAACCGGCCCCAATAGGTAGGCAGCCGGAGTAGAAAGCAAAAGATAACGCCACAGAGTGAGAACAGCTGCTAAGGCTCGCTTTGGCCGCTAATTGAGGCCCTCAACTATCTCAAGGTTGTTAAGCAAAAGAGTGGGCTTAAAGCAAAGGCAGAAGTGGCTCTGCTGGAGTGGGTGGTGTCGGCCTCCACAGGACGGGAATGTAACTCGGCAGCGACAATGCAGCTGTCCCTTCGGGAATCAGGAGCCTGAACGTGGTGAACACTGCGCATGCGCCTGACGCAGCGGAAGCGGGTGGGGGGAGGGCGCAGGACGCAGCGTGCCGGCGCAGGTGACCGGAAATAACGCGAGAACCAGGATAGCTGCGGAGAAGGGGGCTGGAATCGCTGGAGCTATGGAGCGGGTTCTCCCCATTTTGTTGGTGCCTCTTCCCGCTGAGGCAACGGGGTGCCTCGGATGTCGGGCGCAGTTGCACAGAGAGCAGGAGGTTCTGGGAAGCCTGACGGCTGCAGGCAGCCTTCACGTGCTTTCCTTGGCGCCGGGCGGCCGGGGCGGGGGCGGCTGCCGTCTAGACGGCCCGTTTCGGCAGTAAGTGCTGCGGGCGGGCCTGGCTGGTATTGTGGGGGGAGTCCGCAGCCTTGGTCGGTCCCTCTATTCCCCTCCTGGCATGGAGGTAGCAGGAGAGGAATGCCAGCGGCTGGCAGCGCCCCAGAGGCGGGCCTGGTTCCTTCTCAGAACGTTTTCCTCGCTTTGGCGCGTCCCTACAACCACCCTTTCCGGTTCTTCGTGGGTGGAGACTATATCCTGATCCTATGCTGCTGCGGGGAACCTGGAATGGCCCCCCGCTTGGTCGCTGTCTTTTATTCATTCAACACAGGTTGATTAATCGTCACTGTTACGTGCACAGTGTCCATTTTCTAAAGTTAATTCCATCGAGGATGCCCGCTGGTGGGGAAAGGGGGGAGATCATCTCTAATTTGAATCATCTGTTTCCTTTTTCTTGTCTCCGAAACAAATGGCTGTTTCCTTCACATTTGGGCTTTCCGCCGCTTTCTCAAGGACTGAGCCTAGTTTTTCCACCCGCTTATTCGTTTATTCATTCAGCAAATACCTATTATGCACTTTGTTGGTTTCCTAGAGTAGCGCCTGAAAAGTTTAATAAGACAGTTCTTAACATGTGAGGGTTGTATGGTTGCGAAAACAGAAAAGAAACGTACTTTCAATCGTGTATTATTTTCCACATATGTAATTCTTAAAATTTATATCATTAAGTTAAAGAGTGCCCTCTGAGTCTTTGACTGGACTCTTTAATAACAGAAAACACATTAGAAATGTTCTCTTTACGACTCTGAGTAGCCAGAGAGGAGTCTTACCTTGGAATCTTCAGATCCTGTAACAGTGCTTGACAGTAAATACTCGTTTGTTAAATCAGTGAATGCTTTAATCTGCTTTGTGTTTCTTTATTCCTGATCTCTAGTTGTGCTAGGAAGAGAAATCTCTCTCTACTAGGAGTTAGATATTCAGCAGTATTAAGTACATATGAACACAGTGCTGTAAAGAAAAGAATGAGGTAGGGAGAAAAGCAGAATTCTTAGTTGTTTGAGAACCCACATGGAAGTCGAATATACATGAAATAATGGGGCTTTCATAAACTATTGTATGAAATTAGTAGCAGGAGAGGATCAAGAAGTGCTTTTTAGCTTTTTAAGCTGAATTAAATTTTAATTCAATTAAAATACTTAGTAGGGTTAAAATAAGGACAGGTTTATAGTGTGCAGAATTTGCTTCCTACTTTTCTCAAATGGTTCTTTGTATATTGTTGAAATAATGTATTCTATTCACTGAAAGATTTGCCTTTCCATGTGACAATATAGTCCTTGTGTTATGATGTTACTTGTTTCATACTATTCTGCCATTTACGTGTAGCTTAGTTTGTTTAACCTTTTCTATTGTTGACATCTAGATTTTCAGATTTTCATGGTAAATAGTCAGGACTTTGGTGTTTATGGAAAATTCTAGGTATAAAGCCATAAAGTGTCAGTATTTTTCTCTAATAATAACATAATAGCACCAAGTCCACTGTCTTTAGATACAAAATTACTGCTTCTGTAGAAAAGAGCTTTTGTAAAAAGATGAAACTTTATTAACATGGTAGCCTTCTCTCTTTCTATTGATTTGTTTTCAGATTTGAGGCCCTTTAATTTTATTTTTTATATGTGACTTAATTTTATTATTTAATTTGAAGCTGTAGCATTATTAGTCTTTTTCCATCCTCATCAGCCATGTTTGTTTGTTGACTTTATACTGTTAAAAAAGAATGCTGCAACAGTACAGTCCATCAAAGTAGCTATTAGCCACATGTGGTTAAAATTAAAAATTTAGTTCTTCAGTTGCACTGCCCTCATTTAAAGTGCCCAGTAGCCACATGTGGCTGTTGGCTGCTATATTGGACCACGCAGATATGTTGAACACTTCATCATTACAGAGTTTTGCTGAACAGAGCTTCTATAACATGCCATTTGAGTCATCGAATACAAATAATCACTTTAAAAAATCATTGATAGCATTTAAGTGAACAGTCATTTTGTTAGTTGTGAGCACCACCTCTTATAAATATTAGATATATTTGGTTGTTGAAACTTATCCTTTGATCATGACAGTTCCATTAAATATATCATCAGTCAAGATTTAGGATGAAGGAATGAAAGCAACCACCATTTATTGCTCCTGGCCCCATTTTCACTAGCACTCCTATATACTAATATTTTTAAATGGAAGTGCTGGGGGTTGAACCCAGGACCTCAGGCATACTAAGTATGCACTCTGACACTGAACTATAACTCTGCCACCCCAACGCCTATATTCTTGTGTTGCTGTGAAAGGGGTTGAAGAGGAAGAAGAAAGTAAGGGAGGGGGAAAAAGATGGGAAGTCCTGGAGCAGTTTGCATTTCCTTGGGTTGCATAAAGAATTAATGCTATTAGGTGAACTAACGAGTTGTTCGCTACTTACTTTGTCCTTTACCCTCACCATTGTGGGTAAGTAGTGTTGTGGGTACAGAATATAATAAATAGTCTAATCTTTTTTTTAGGTTTATATGGGAGGATTCTCCCAACAGTGGGACACCAACAGATAAGCCCAGACTGCTTGCTCTTAGTGAAAATTGTGAACTGCTTATCTATGAATTTAATTTGAAGGATGGAAGTTGTGATGCAACCGTTTTGCATAGCTATAATGAGGAGACATTGCAAAAGCTCATTGAAGATCAAAATATCAGTAAGTATTTACAGGTGGTCTTTAGCATGTTTAAATCTGTAACATTACTATATAAATTTATATATTTCAGGAAGAATTCTTACAGAGGTGAAATCAGGGAGGGAGATACATCCAGTACACTAGACACTAGCTACATGGGGCTATTGAGCACTTAATATAATTAATAAGAATTAATATGTCTTAAATGTCAAATATACTACAGATTTGAATACTTAGTACTAAAAAAGTAAAATATCTCAGTAGTTTTTGTATTAATTACATGTTGATATATTTTGAATATGAGGTAAGTTATATTAAACTTAGTTTTACCTGTGTCTTTTTTCATTGCAGCCAGTAGAAAATTTGAAATTACATGTGTGTGTTTCACATTTGTGGCTGACAGTATATTTCAATTGGACAGTGCTGATCTAGACTGGTTACAAAGCTGTCTACTATGTTCCATCCTGAGGGTTGCAGGGAGCAGAAATGAAAGCACTCAGGCTTCTGTTTTTAAGGCAGTAGCATACTCACAACCCTTGATTATAAGGTTCCCTCTTTTTCTTTCTAAAGAGTCTGTGATCATTCTTGTGAGGCCCCATGGATAAGCAGGCTTTTTTGATCTTCCAGTGTGCTCTCACACTCTGGCCATAAACAGAAGGCACAGGGACACCATACACCATCTTCATTTATCACCTTACCCACCTTCCAATGACCATGTGGTTAGGTGATTTTGAACAACAACTGTCTAGAGTTGGATTAAGTGCTGTTTCCCTTTTCTTTTACCTGCTTGTGTGATGTTAACAGAATCAAATTTACCAACTGTAAACCTGTGACCATTGAGTTTGATATAATATCCTTTTGTTTTATAGGTATTTCCTTATTATCTCTGAGAATTCTGTCATATCATAGTAACACATCGTTATTGTTCATCAACAAGTATATCCTCCTACATGTTATATTTCCTGAAAGAGATGCTGAGATTAGGTTACTCAACTGTTTCACGTTACCCTTGCCTGCACAGGCAGTGGACAGGATTATTGACACACAGCTCTGCAGAGGAATTCTTTTTGTGCTGAGTAGTTTAGGCTGGATCTGTATCCTTGTTGGTAAAGATGTTGAGTGCGGGAAAGGAAAATACCAAAAAGATGAGTTTTTTTAGGCTTTTAGTTATAGGGAGTGGAGTATAGGCAGAATGGTCAGTTTTTCAGTAAAACTTTCAGGGAAAAAGATCTTCATGAGTTTAAAGTACTCAACTACATTGTTTTCTATTTCATTCAAATATTTTTCAGTTTATAAATACATATTTTTTCATAGCCATAATAGTCTTATCCAACTTTTTAATGTTTTTAAATTGTGTATGTTCTGCATTACCAATTTATTCAGAATATACTTATTAAATATCTACTTTGTGCTTGTTCCAGGAAGGATTTAAATGACTGCTAATGATACGATATACACATATTTTCATGTATGAATATAATCTACCTCTTACCATCTCTAATGATACTTCAATTGTATTAGTGAATCATTGTTTGCATAACAATTTTTAATTTGTTTTTGGAAACTATCACAGATTTTTTGTCTTTAGCAGATCCATAGGTCATCAGCAAAATTATTCTGAAAATTATTTGATGATTATTTGAAGAATGACCTCTTATTTGTTTTTGGAACTTTTATTTCAGCATTAAAGGAATAGTTTTCCTATTTTACATATATCATAGCCTATATTAAAATTTCTTTTGTAAAAAAAAATTTTCTTTTGTAAAAGATGTTATGTGGAATATGGACAGACCTGTGCTGTCCAACACTGTAGGCAGTAGGTATATGTGGCTGTTGAGCACTTGAAATTGTCTAGTGTGACTGAGGAACTGAATTCTTAATTATATTTAATGATTTTTAGATTTAAAATCTGATTCTTGATTCAGTTATTGGAGAACTTTTGAGTATGTTTGGAACAACTTTGGCTGCTCCAGGTTCTTAAATATAAATTTTTGGAGTCTAAATACAGACCAGGTATTTCCAATGAAAATTTAGTGTTCAAATTGAGATGTGCTGTGACTGTAAAATAACCAAATTTGAACACTTACATGAAAAAATGATATAAAAATCTCAATTTTTATATTGATTACCTGTAGAGATGATAGTGTTTTGGATATATTTGGTTAAATAAAATATATTCTTAAGGTTAGGTTCAGGAAGGTGGGCATAGCTCAGTGGTAGAGTGCATGCTTAGCATGCACGAGGTCCTGGATTCAATCCCCGGTACTGCTATTAAAAAAAAAAAAAAAGATTAGGTTCATTGGTTTCTTTTTACTGTAGTAAGGCTACTAGAAAATTTACAATGACAAATGTGGCTCATATGTTTCTTTTGGATAGCACTGTTGTGGAACATCAGTGGAAAATACTATGTCTCAATATTATTAACATCATAATGTTAACAATATAATAATAATATTATGTCTCAGGGCCTGGCACAGAGTGGATATTTAGCAAGTATTGTTGAGCGAATTCTCTATCAGGTTGTTTATTGGGTCACCAAACTCATAGTTACCTGGTTAATGTGATGGGGTTGTTTTAGTGCCATCTTCCTTCTGCTGTTATACCTTCAAGGTTGGAGCAATGAGATCTTTAACTGTCTCGTCCTATGTTTTAAATGGTTCAGCATACTTCAGACTGGCATTTTCTTTAACTCTAACTCAAAGACATTTTTGACATTGTGGACGGTAGATGCATAGCTCATGTGGATTCAGCACTTCACCAAGAAGATGTGTGTAATGAGCTACAACAGGAGCCAGCCAAGATTTCTTCCTTTACTTCACTGAAAGTATCTCAAGACCTAGATGCTGTAGTGATTATCAGCTCCTCCAACACTGCAATTGCTCTTAACTTAAATTTGTATTTCAGGTATGTAGATTACTGCATTCTCTGATTTGAGGTAAATAATTAGAGCCATAAGAGGTTACAGGTGTGCTTGTTAGGTCCCCCCCCCAACCTTTAAACAGTTTTCTTTCTCTATTCAGTTAAATCAGGTTCTACCTGCTACATAGTGAGCTTGTTACTGTATAATAATGTGTAGAAATAACTACTGGCTACCTTTTTATTACTGGATACATCTCCAAGTTTTGGTTTTGTTTTTTGTGTGTTATGATATACATGGCTTATATCATCATGTAAGTAAAAAGTATCAAGCACAATTTTAGAAGCCCTTGGCTGTTATACATTGTATTATACATACATGATGCATCTGCTCACCTCTTCCCCACATTAGAGTGAGGAGAAATAGGATTTACCCTGTGTTAGAATGAGGCTTCGGATCCTGGCTGCCTAGGGGATCACTTTTCACTTAAAGAACTTTAACAACATACATTGACCTAGCTTTCTCCAGTTCAGGATTTCCTCAGATGTTTCCCTTGGAGGGTCCACAATTGTAGCTTTCTAAATATATTAATAAAAATTGACTGCTTCTTTGTGTTGCTTTTTGATTTAGAGATTATAGTTGCTTCTGATTTTTTGATGTTTGAAAGGACTATGTGTATATGTGAGTGTGCACACGCACAGCAGCCTGTTTATTGCAGCTTGTTTATCTCAAAGTAGACTAGTCCACTTTTATGACTTTCAGTGTTAAGAGCCGTCCCAAACAATTAGGAATTTTGGTCCTAACTTAATATGAGTGAAATAAACAAATCCTTGAGTAATTAGGATGCACTTTGATGGGATTATTGCTTATTGTTTGGATCACAAAAAAGGGTTAATTTCATCTTCACATATCAGCCAGGACTTGTAACTGTGATCTTTTCATTTGTTTTCAATGGTTTTTTAATATATTTTTTAAAAAAAATCTTTGAGCAGGGATGATAAGAACATTTTCAGATTATGCGCTTATGTGTCAGTGGGCCATGTTTACTGACTAAAACATACTCTGTTCTTGTAGAGTTACCTCCTAGTCATCTTCCTTGGAAAACAATTTGACAGATCAGAAGGGAGGAAAGACTTCTCAGCTACTCTGATCCTTGAGTGTAGGATTCTGTTCCTCTGGTTGTTTTGGCAACCCCTCAGGAGAACTCTGAGGAGAGCAGCAGGCACATTCCTTTGAACAAATTTCATTGAACTGAGCCCCTGTAACATCAGCCAATGAAGAGGTTCTGTTCTGTTCCGGGCAGTGAATTTAGGGATCTGTCCTGTCCAACTAAATGAGTGATCTCTGTTGATTATTATTTACATGGATGCTTTTTTATTAGTATAACTTCTTGAGGGAATTGACTAGCATGTTTATTTTCTAAGCGTGCTGTTGGATGTGTTTTACCTTTCCTGTCTCCTGACGCTGGTTCTTTTCCACAATACAGAATGTCAGCCTCCTCACTACTTTTCATTTTATCAAGTCCTGTTTATCCTTTGAGCTCTACCTCTTTCATGAAACCTTTTCTTACTAAAACCCCTTTCACTTGTAAATTTAGACTCATTTCATACCTTTTCTCCTCTTTGAATTTCTATAGCACTTCTGCTTTCAACTACAAGTTAGCACTTGATTTTATAGTCTTGTATTATTTCTCTGGTTCTTTTTTTGTAGAGTCTGTAAGCACCATGTAAGCACCTCATGATTTGTTCAGTACACTGTCAATGACTTTTTTTTTTAACATTTTTTTATTGAGTAATACTCATTTTACAATGTTGTATCAAATTCCAGTGTAGAGTACAATTTTTCAGTTATACATGAACATACATATGTTCATTGTCATTTTTTTCCCCACTGTGCGCTACCACAAGATCTTGTATATATTTCTCTGTGCTATACAGTATAATCTTGTTTATCTATTTTACATTTTGAAATCCCAGTCTGTCCCTTCCCACCCCCCCGCACCCTTGGCAACCACAAGTTTGTATTGTATGTCTATGAGTCTATTTCTGTTTTGTATTTATGGTTTTGTTTTGTTTTTTTTTGATTCCACATATGAGTGATCTCATATGGTATTTTTCTTTCTCTTTCTGACTTACTTCACTTAGAATGACATTCTCTAGGAACATCCATATTGCTGCAAATGGCGTTATGTTGTCGGTTTTTATGGCTGAATAATATTCCATTGTATAAATGTACCACATCTTCTTTATCCAGTCATCCATTGATGGACATTTAGGCTGTTTCCATGCCTTGGTATTGTAAATAGTGCCACTATGAACATTGGGGTGCAGGTGTCTTTTTGAATTAGGCATCCTTCTGGATATATGCCCAGGAGTGGGATTCCTGGGTCATATGGTAAGTCTATTCCTAGTCTTTTGAGGAATCTCCATACTGTTTTCCGCAGTGGCTGCACCAAACTGCATTCCCACCAGCAGTGTAGGAGGGTTCCCTTTTCTCCACAGCCTCTCCAGCATTTGTCATTTGTGGACTTTTGAATGATGGCCATTCTGCCTGGTGTGAGGTGATACCTCATTGTAGTTCTGATTTGCATTTCTCTGATAATTAGTGATATTGAGCATTTTTTCATGTGCCTATTGATCATTTGTATTTCTTCCTTGGAGAATTGCTTGTTTAGGTCTTTTGCCCATTTTTGGATTGGGTTGTTTGTTTTATTCTTATTAAGTTGTATGAGCTGCTTATATATTTTGGAGATCAAGCATTTGTTGGTTTCATTTGCAAAAATTTTCTCCCATTCCATAGGTTGTCGTTTTGTTTTACTTCTGGTTTCCTTTGCTGTGCAGAAGCTTGTAAGTTTCATTAGGTCCCATTTGTTTATTGTTGCTTTTATTTATCTATTGCTTGAGTAGACTGTCCTAGGAGAACATTTTTGA